CGCAGTGCAGGGAAGTCCCGTCATTACTTACATTTTAAATCATTAAATGATCTTCATTACGAAGCGCCTTTAAGACTCCACTTTGCCAACCACGCATCATACACATTGATTAACTTGTTACCAAGTATTTTGTTGGACTGTATATGGAGGGACGTACCCCCTAGCAGCACAGCCGGCCCGGGAGTGAGCATAATGAATTAATCGCTTCCTTCCTCTTGACTAACGTCGATTACGCACACTAAGTGGTGGCGAGACTCAGGGGTACGCCGCCTCCGCCTCTCCATCCCGCATTAGGTTGCCTTTTGCAAAACATGGATTGCACAAATTGCAAGACTGAGGTTTGTTCATATAAGGCAGGATAATCTCATTAATTCGACAGGGATGCGGCCGGTGACCAGAAAAAATGAAAAAAATAACCGTCCAGTATTACTTGAAGGTGCAGGTATGATAGTCCTACTTTGGCCATTTTTCCTATTTCTTGGGAAAGGAAAATGACCCATAATGAGTTTGATGGGTTAGAACTATAATACCACAGCTACTTATGGAAGTACAGTTGATAAATAAAAACTCTTGTGATTATCGAGATGTATCTGACGAAATCAACACCAACTGCTAAATCATTCATCTATTTCTTGTCAGTCACCAAACCTTGTTTATGGTGAAACTTGGTATCGCTTTGTGTATTTCAGGACTCTCAGCTCAGCCACAGTCTTATTCGTCATGTCGTAGCAGCTTCCACGCTTCAGATCACACCTGGCTGGACGACCCCGGCGATAACTGGGAAATACACAGACGTTCCACAGACTATCGCTCGCAGACGCTCGTTCCAACCCACAGAAAATCGGGTCTTTTGAGCTCTGACGGACACTGTTCAGATTATTTAGCTTCAAGTACAACAAGGAGAAACATTCGAATAAAAAAGAAAGAAAAAAAGAAATATTACTTTCAGGGTAAATATATAATAATTTACATGCAACATCTGCTTCCACTGGGAGGAAAATCCTTTTTTTCCCACTTGGTTTGGATTTTTCTCGTGGGATTACAACCTCACCTGTGTCTCGACGCTCACACGACGCCTCACACGTGGCCCATAGGAAATCCAGAATTAGCTTAAAGTCTTATTCCTTACGCTCTACAACGAGATATTAGCCTTATGGAAAGCCCTGTCGATTTGTCATTCACTTCCACTATAGAGTTCATGTTGCAGCACCTCTGTGAACCTCGTCCGCTTGGTAGTCACTACATGTCATCATTATCATCATCATCATCATCAACCACGCTCTCTCCAGGACAACTATATATATGTGAAAAATCAACGAATAGAATTTGATGGGTACTTTTTAAAAACTGGGTGACTTTTATGGTACAAGTACCTTAAACAACAAAACAGATTGAGGACATAACCGGGGGAGACATGACGTCATCAAACGCCGCTCACCGGTAACTTGCACTGTCAACGCACCGGGTCTCACGCCGGGCGGCTCCTACCAACGAACAACTTAATATACAAAAACAATTTCCTACTTAAACAAACATCATGCTGTTGATAACGTGAGAAGTATTCAGGGAATGCTATCAATTTAGGTAAATGGGCAACGATAATAATAATAATAAAGATAATGATAATTATAATATTGATAATGATAATAATAAAAATAATAACAATGATAATATAAAAAAAACAGTTATGATAACAATAACAGCAGCAATGGTAATAAAATAACGATTTTTGGCAAAAAATAATAGTCATAATGATAATCATATTAACAAGAGATGATAAAAACAATAATATTAATAATTCCAATGAAGTTATTCACGGCCTTGTAAAATCACCAGGATTTCCAAGGGATCGTCTCTCAGTTCAACAGATATGGATCCTGCCACCTCGAGTTCTGAAACAAGTAATCTCGTCCCGTACAGTGTGAAGCTATTTTTCTCGAAAATGAAAAAAGAAAAAAAGGAGAGAGAACCAAAAATGCAAATCATATCATATTTCGAATCAAAATTTGCATCAGATCGTTATCCCAGGTTAGAATCGCGTCATTCAGGATAACTCTCATTCCCACTACAAATGGAAAACATAAATCACTTATGTAAGCTTGATTCCACATCCATAAATATGGGATGGATGTAGCCAAGCAAAATTAGCATATCAACGCGTCATACTTGCGAACAAACACGGGATTCGGTTCACTGGCCATCGATAAAGACATTACTTTTATATATATTTTTTTTTGCAAGTTCGGGAAAGTATGAATAACAAAAATATGCTACGGAAAGAATGTCTAGTTTGAAGTGAAGCATGTCGTTGGGATGTGATTGGCGCGTGTCTAAAAATTCCGTCCGGGGGAAAAAATGAATGAATAAAGAAATGGATTTTGATTTTCACACAGATTCGTTTTTATGCGTTGTCCCTGTTCTCTAAATGTTTCTATGGCCGAATGCCTATGGCTGATCAGAGAGCGGAACTTGTCCCTTTGTTAAAAATCGTAGTATTGAGGTATTCTTATAATTCCCTCTTTCCTGTCGAAGGAAAGGGGAAGGGGGAGCAGATTGTCGAACGAAGTCAAGCCATTTAGACTTCGATTGTCACAAGGAAAAGTTTGTAATAATTTAATCATGATAATTGAGTTTATCCGCTGTGCTTCGATACGGCGTAAGAGAGCACTTCGGCGATAGCACGGCCGTATACTGATACATATGTACTCGAGTATACGCGTGCATTTATTAGCATTTATGTATAGAATTTAGAGTTGGACGTCAACATCACAAAAACGAATTCCAATAATGACCTAAAGGATTAAAAAAAATGTAAACACAGACCCTGTGGCGTTTGACGGACGAGAAAAAGCGACATTAAAAAAAGGGAAAAAGCAAACCTATCCCAGAGAAAAAAGTCGTCTCCGGGGGACCACAATTACCATTACCGGTCACATGGAAAATTTGAACAAATCGTTTGGCGAGGAAGACCACCTCAAATGTCACTCTCCATCCACCACAATAGTTCTCCGAGCCGTGAGTCCACCCCTCCCCCTTACCCCCCCCCTCCCTTCATCCTCTATAAGAGGGGTGGGCGGAGGTAGAGGATGGTGGTGGGGTGGGGGGCTTACGACGGACTCTACTGTGAGGGGGAGAGTGATGTGTTCAAGTACTCTACTGTTAGCAATATTATTATTATTATTTAATGGTATAAGTGTTTCTGAATTAATGTTATGATAGCAAATGGATTATGTAATATGATTTATGTTACTTCTTTTTCCTCTCTCTCTTTACGTGTGTGGAATGTGTAGTGGTACAGATACCGAATACCGTAATGTTTGGACTTACTATTCGTCTGATGTCGCGATGATTCTCTCAGAAGCTGGGAAAATATATATCCGTGAAAGTTGAAATCACGACTTTTAATGAAGGCCAAAACGTTTCTGATTCCATCCTCTCGTTGATTGTCACAGACGATCTCGAGTCGGCAATCACCATATCATTATTTTTTCTTACATTTTGTAATGAACACAAAAGTACTGACCGAATATTTCCAAAAAATAAAAAATAAAATACAAATGATAATAAATTTCACTTGATTTCCTGAATACTCTGCACACTAACACCAGTTTTCTTTCTTAAACCCTACAACCAATAACAACTTAAGCTCAAACATGCCCCTCTTGTAGTCACGACTACTGCGTATCCGGACACGTATTTAGGACACGCTAATATGTATTTTTTTATTTACCATTTCATTTTTTGTCAGTAATGCCCATGTCTTACGCGCTGTTGACTGGCCGTAGGGAAATCCCCGGGCACAAGAGTGTCCAACCCTGAACAGAGCCAATGGCGGGTCTCCT